GCTCTTGCCTCTGCTGCGTATCATGACAGGCCACGGGCGCCGTACTGGAGGGCGGCGCTTGAGGTGAGGGCCGCCTGCCCAAAGCCACGTTAGCTGGCCCACTCTCTGCTGCAACCAGCGCCCCCCAACGCCAGCTGTCGCAGCGCCAGGCCCCCGCCTGCTGCGCTCCCCTTCTCCACCGCAGCTGCAGTGGCCCTTTCCTTTCCGCCGCTGCCGCGCCCAGGGCCCCACCTCGTGCGCACACCCCGCACCAAGCCGGCCGCACCTGCTCGCAGTGCTTGACGTCACCAAGCACGCAGACCTTCATGTTGGGGCGCGGGATGTAGGGCAGCTTCACGGTGCCGCTGAAGCGCTTGTCCTTCTGGGGGTCATAGTTCTTGAGGCCGATCTGGAGCTCGATCGTCTCGGTGAACTTGCGCTGCTTGGTGCGGGAGCCCTCCAGGATGGCTGGCGGGGCGGGGGCGACGGCGCGACATGCACGGAGGACGGAGCGGGGTGAGCGTGGAGGGCTGCGGCTGTGCCAAAGGCAGGGGACTTCTGTACAATGTCGCCGAGATGACGAAAGGTCAGCAAGCAGCTCCGGCACCTGGTGCCCTTGCTGCAGCGCGTGCGCTGCCGCACTTGCCGCCATGGCCGTCGACCGCCATGCGCTGCAGTCATGTGGCCTGTGCAGCGGCCACATCAATCACAACACTCTTGGAATGGCCTTTGTCACCACAGCTTCAAGCTGAGGGCTCACTCTGGATCCCCTCGCGGAGGACGTCGCTCGAGATCTTGCTCATGGTTGCTGCTCTGCTCTGCTCTTGCAACGTCTGCGGGCGCGCAGCGACCAGCGACACAAGGTTTCAGGGACCTACAAACCGTTTGCCGCGTCCAGAGCCTCCTTCAAGCTCTGCAACGAGGTCGCTGCATCACTGCATCAGGCGGCACCACCGCGGGCCAAGGCGCTGGGCAACACGGCAGCATGGGTAACTTCAGCTGCAAAAAAGGCTGCACGGCCGCCTGGTGCTGCTGCAGGCTGCGCCGAGCTCGTGGGCCGCCGAGCAAGCAGTCGTCGATACGGCGCTGGGGCTCTGTTGTCGATAAAAATGCAAGCTGATGCACTCACCTGCTGCTTTTTGGAAAGAGAGAAACGTTGCAGTTTGTGGCGCTATGTTCTCGGCGAGCCCGAGTCCAGCGGTCGCAGGCCCGAACTATTCTTCAGCTTACGCACGTGTAGCCCTGCGACCTTAAGGTAATTCGATACCATGTGTTTCTTAGCGCTTGCTGCATGCTGAACACACACACACACACACACACACACACACACACACACACCTGGTGCGGGCACACTCGAGTTGGCGCCCTGCTGCTGCCGACCTGCAGCTCGATTGCAGCTCAGCTTGAGATGCATGGTGGGTGGGATGTGTTTGTTACGTGAATGTGTGGATGCTTGTGCTGCGCCTTCAGATGAGGTAGGAACCATGAAGCAGAGTACGCGAGGCCAAGCTTTGCGTCGCGGGCAGCCCTGCCCATGACTACCATCACTGCCAACAAGGCGCAGTCAGTACAACAACTGTGATGACGGACAGCAATTCTTTCTCACGATGAACAGCGTTTTATTGTGGCCCACATGCCAGCATGCTGCACCCCTTTGCGCTGCTGCCAATTTTAGTCCTTCAGTCGAGGCACAAGGACCCGTGCTGGTACATTGGGTGGCGGTGATTTGTGAATGAGAACTGCCGCACAGCACAGCACAGACATCTGTGGCACTTGAGGGGCCGTTAGGGCTGCATATGCGGGCTGTCTGATGTCGGGAGCACACAACGAGCGGACCACCGTTGACCAGGGCCGCCTGTCTGCGCCTGCAACACTGCTGCGGAAATGCACGCTATTTGCTCGATACCTTGGATCGCAGACGTGTTCCTTGACCACCAGGGGACGCCCACGGAGGCGGGCACAAAGATCGCAATGTGATCTTGCTGGGGGGTGTATGCACGGTCAGCCCCACACAAAGAAACGCAGAATAATTGTCACACGCACGCATGAAGCAGTGAATTGCACGAAGGCCTCGACACGAAAGGGAACCGGAACGTCGGCACCAAACCAGTCGGCGGACTTGGCCCCAGAGCGCGCGAGCTTCGGCCTCTTTCTGGCCATCATCAGGAGGCCCAACAGAGCAGGAACGTAGCAACCATGGGTGCGTGCACCGCCGTCCCAAGCGGGGCAGGCTTGGCGCCGTGGCAGGGCTGACGCATCCTTGAGATAGCTATGAGAATGGCGATTTTGTGAAGCTCGTGGACAGGGCAGCCACAGCGCCTGAGCCAAGGCAGCTGGGCTACGCCCTCAGCAGCGGCGCGGCGGCGCGCGCTGCAGCACGGGCCCCCAGCCGACTCTGCCTGGCAACTGGCCGCAGAGGCATAACACCACAGGCAGACTTGAACGACAGGCCCACACGCCTGCTGGTGACGCTCGCGTGAGGTAGCTGCCTGCTTGTCAGAATGCTGATCCTTGCTTGCGGCTGCGCCCCTACCGCTGCTGCTGCCCCAGGCTACGTGAAGGTTCTGAAGACGAGTGCCTACTTCAGCCGGTACCAGGTGAGCCCTCATCCGGCGGCAGCTGTCAAGACGGAACCTGCAGGGGCACAGGCGCCAGGTGGCTGAGAAGAATGATCAGCAAGGCGTGGCGGCGGTCCTACCTGGCAGCGCAGGAGCAGGAGCAGCAGCAGCAACAGCAGCGCGGTCCTGCCGCAGGCCGTGGCAGCAGGCGGCGGCGCGGCGGTGCGCCACGAGCAGCTGCGGTCGCTGACGCCACAGCGTGGCAAACAGCATGGCATATCAGTAGAACGGGGCCGCCGCAGTGCGATGCAGAGTCAGGCACAGCAGAGGCGAGCGCCCAGCTGCGCGCCCGCGCAGCAGCTGGAGGCGCCGCAGGCTCACTTGTGCGAGACAGCAGCAGTCCCCCAGCACGTCCTCAGGAGCCGCACAGCAGCTCGCAGGCCTCCAGCCACCCGGCGGCCATCATCGCTGCGCTGCCGCGGTTGTGTGTGCGCGGCTGCGGCGGCTGCCCGGCCGCCCGCCGCTCCGCCCCTGCCGACCGTCCCGCACCCCATGCCTCCCCTGCCCGTCACCCCGACCCCCTCAGGTCAAGTACAGGCGGCGGCGCCAGGGCAAGACCGACTACCGCGCGCGCCTCAGGCTGTGCACCCAGGACAAGAACAAGTACAACACCCACAAGTACCGCCTGGTCGTGCGCTTCTCCAACAAGGACGTCACCTGCCAGGTCGTGTACGCCTCCATCGCCGGCGACGTCGTCGTGGCCGCGGCCTACGCCCACGAGCTCCCCAAGTACGGCCTCAGCGTCGGCCTCAAGAACTACGCGGCCGCCTACTGCGTCGGCCTGCTGCTCGCGCGCCGCGTGCTCACCAAGTTTGGCCTGGCTGAGCACTATGCCGGCCAGGAGGAGCCCGACGGCGAGGACTACAACGTGGACCCGGTGGAGGACGGCCCGCGCCCCTTCAGCTGCCTGCTGGACGCGGGGCTCAAGCGCACCTCGACCGGCTCCAAGACCTTTGCCGCCCTCAAGGTGCGGGCGTCAGCGTGTCTCGTGTGTGTGTGTTTGGCGGGGGGCTGCGCGTGTGTGGACGTGTGTGTGCATGCGCATGCGGGCGTGCGCGCGTGTGTGCGTGCGTGTGCGCGCGCGCGTGTGTGCGTGTCCGTGCTCACATGAGTCAGGAAAAAAGGGGGGCGATGTTGTGAGGTCACTCGGCTGGTCACACTCAGCTGGCTGTTTTTAGGCCAGCAAAGGCTGCGAGAACCCTTTCGGCCCCTCGCAGTGACCTATGAGGCAGGCTGCCTTGACCACCAGTTGGCCGCGTTTCTGCGTGTCCTTCGCCCGACCCAACGCCCCGTCACCTGCGCGATCGCCCTCCCTCACCCCCCACCTCCCCCAAAGGGCGCTCTGGATGGCGGCCTGGACATCCCCCACAACGAGAAGCGCTTTGTGGGCTGGACCAAGGAGGAGGGCCTCGACGCCGAGGTGGGGGGGATGCAGGCGGCCGGCCGGGGGGTGCACCGGCAGGGCCGGGACGCATGTGGGGTACCTGCAAGCACAGTGGTTTCTTGGCCGCCTGCATTTTTTGTCCCAATCCAGGCGCCTGCTAGCTTCTCAGCCTCCCGCCCGCTCTGCGCCGTGATCCAATCCACTCCACCCGCCCTCCCTTGTGGAGCTTCGTCACCAACCCGCACACGCACGCCTCGCGTCCCCAATTATCGTCATCGTCCCACGCTACGCCATTCCATTTTAACCTCCAGACCCCACCCCCTCACCCCAACAC